TATCTTATCGAGTAGTAGGTTGTGATCTACTTTATCAAATGCCTTACTGAAGTCCAAGTAAATTATATCCACAGCATTCCTCTGATCCACTAATTTTGTCACTTGGTCAAAGAATGTAATAAGGTTTGTCTGGCATGATCTGTTTTTGACAAACCCATGTTGGCTTTTAGTAATGACTTTGTTTGCCTCTAGGTGTTCATGGATAACTAAGCTAAGAGTGAAGCTTATGTATATACAGTAGATACTGAGTGGTAGGAGTGGTGGTGGTGGGGAGTTAATGTGTAACTCAGGAAGGAAATGTTACTAAAAAAGTGGAAAATATAAATTTGAAGGAATGATTTTGTATATTGCAACTCAAAACCTGCATCTGCCTAATTTTAACATTTAATATTTTAAAATTTTAATATTTCCATTTTTGCTTGTACGATGTTGTGATCCACCCAGAATCTCCTGATAGTAATATAGGTGGCATATAAATTTAATAAATAAATTTACTAGCTCCCCTTTTCCAACCTGGAATGTTAAATGAATAAGAACTAATACAGGCAAGAAAAAGAAATCACTCTAGAGCTAATTAAAAGAAAGGCTTATCTCCAGAAATTATGGTGTTCCATCATTAGAGATTTTTAAAAGAAAAGATTAGACAATCATTTGTCTGGAATGATATCGGGTCTCCTGCTTGAGCAGGGGATTGGACTAGAATACCTCCAAGGTCCCTTCCAACGCTATTATTCTATGTTCTCTGTTGTTATAGTCATCATCTCAGTCAAATGACTTACCTTTTAGTTTCCCTAAGTTGTCTTTCTCTAAAATAATTGCATCAATTGACTAGTTGCATCAATTATTTTGGACTGGATGTCTGGAAACCATATTGCACCATTTAATGTCTGCATAAGTATATTCAATCTCATCCTAAGGATCATTGTATATATGTGTGGAGGAGACGGAATATAGAAAAACAAACCATTTTGAAAGGAGGAATGTACACTTCTTTGAGGCACACTCCTCAGATTGGTTTAGGATTTTTACAACCTAGGTTAATAGTGTCCAAACCATGCAGTACATTCTGGAAAATGGAATTGTGTTAGTAATTTTGTTTATCATTTCACTGGATGATGGCTGGGAGGCAGGGAGGATGTTTCTTTTATTTCTGCTGTACTTGCCGTATTTTTCCTAATAACAGAAAGATTTTATGTAATTGCCAGCTGGCTTTGGGAATTGATTAACTAACAGCAGACATTAATCTTTAAATAAATTAACAGAACTTTGGTTTCAGATGCAATTTCTACTCTCAGTATTCAGCAATAAGATATAATAGAATTGCATGAGTTGTGGGATCTTCCAAAGTCTAAGCTGGGATTAATATATATTCAGTAGATGACAATAAACACATATACACAATTTTCAAAACTACGCTTCACTGTTTAAAGCCTCATCATAAAATCTAATTTGTATAATCAATTCTTAAACATGAAAGTTAATTTTAAACAGTAAATTACTGTATGTAGTTAGTAAAATACAATCTAAGACTACCAAGTTTAGAAACATAACTAACATGGAAATAAATCCTGTTTATAATTAGTATTCAGTGTTCACATGCCAGTATTTAATATGATTATGTGACATGCCGGCTCTTTATGTGAAAGAAGAACATTCAACCCAACGTGTCTATTTTGAGATGGTACTGTACTATTGTAGGAGCAAATACCAGATTGAATTTAATATGGATGAAGATTGGTACCAAAAATAAATAATTTGGTCAATCCCCGAATTATAACTTGAATCCAAAGTTGAGTTATGGATCCTAAAAGTGTTTTGTACATATCTGACACAATATGCTGCATGAAAAAGTGAAATAAAATTCAAAGACATTTTTTCACCTCTAAATGGGGCATTTGTGGGGTGGAATAAAAGTGAAGATGGCAGTCATAACTCTGTAGTTGAAAGCCCAGCTTTTCTTTATGGGAGAGATCTTCAATTGTGCATCTTGACTTTTCTGATTCCCTATCCCCACAGATGACCTGTCTGTTACAAGTTGTTGCAGTTAGATAAATCAGGAATGAGGATTACAGATTTATCCATTAGCACTGTCAAGGGAATGTGCAGAATAGTGCTGGAGATGATTTTTGGAATGTTTCTGAGACTTTGAATCCAACCCAACTTCTTTTGGTTCTGTGTGCAAAACTGCATTTTTGATTGCATGAAGGGGCGGGTGCATGTGCTAATATTATAGAATTGTAATGCTACTGCATAAGCCAATACTGTTTTTCTTTTTTGCTGGGGATGCTTTAAGTTAGCTTTAGTTCTTTTCGTTAAATCGCTTTTGCTTGCATTTAAACTTTATGTTGATTTTGCTTCATTTTTTTTCCATTTCTCATGCTGTTCAGGTTTTGGATGCCAGGAAAACAAAGGTTTGTTCACTCTTTGCAATCAGTTTGTTTGCAAAATGTAGCATTTCTTAATGTGTGATTTTTTGATATGCTTATTTCAGTAGCTGCAATAATCCTGCTTAATAAAGTGGCGCATAGCTTTCATTAGCAGCCTCATTTAACAGTTTAACTCCTTTGCTTTCATATGGCGTGATTACCACTAATCATTTGCATAGTTGCACTGTATGAAAATGTATAAGCTTCTCTTCCCTCCTACATCTCAACCAAACCTGAATTCTAAGGCTTTTTAGATACAGTGTTTGGTTATGGAATGCCAGTCTTTAACATTTACATTTTTAACATTGTTCTTTTCACCTCCTTGTCATAAGGTTTGTGTTTCACTATGGGTAATATGTGTAGTTTGTACTGTCTTGTGTTTTTCATTCATCTCTGTATGGTTTCTAACTGCAGCCAAGAAGCATCATAACAAATAATATCACTCTCATGTGTAGATTCTCATCATAAATTTTACTAATGATTGGAATATTGTTTTTTTGTTTAAATCTTTATTTAGATTTTTTTTTTTATTGCAGCATCTTCAGCTAACAATTCAGGCACTCCAAGATGAACTTCGAACCCAGAGAGACCTTAACCATCTCCTTCAGCAAGAAAGTGGTAACCGAGGTGCTGAGCATTTTACTATTGAACTGACAGAGGAGAATTTCCGAAGACTTCAAGCTGAGCATGACAGACAGGCAAAAGAGTTGTTTCTCTTGAGAAAAACCTTGGAAGAAATGGAGCTGAGAATAGAAACCCAGAAACAGACGCTGAATGCCAGAGATGAATCCATCAAGAAGCTTCTAGAAATGTTGCAAAGCAAAGGGCTGCCATCCAAAGGGATGGATGATGAAAACGAAAGAACTCGAAGGATGGCAGAAGCGGAATCTCAGGTTAATCATTTAGAAGTGATCTTAGACCAGAAAGAGAAGGAAAACATCCATCTTAGAGAGGTAAGGAGACCGTGCTCATTTTGAACAGAATTCAGCTGCGGTTTTTGCAGAGTTTAAAAAACAAATGGAAACAGGATGGTTGCAATCTTACTTTCTGTAATAGTTTTATAAGTGGTCTTCCTCTCCAATCCACTTCCCAAGTGGCAAGGAGAATGTAAACATTTGAAAGTGATCCCCATGCTTCGGCAATGCCATTTGTAACTTCTGGCTTGCAGTTCTGTGGAACCTAACTGTAAACTATTATACTTTATATGAGTGATGTTTATCTTGGGGAGTGGGTGTCTCTGCATGTCATAGTACACTCCTTTCCTCACACAGGGCCTAACAGTCATTCAGCAAAGTTTATGCAAAGCAGCCAGCGGTAGAGCTGAATTCTGGATCCTTGTCATGTTAATTGAATCTTGCATCTTACATTTATTGAAGGGAATTTTTTTTAGCTCTTTTCTACTTCTTGGGAAGGTGATTTTGCATTTCTTTAAAACAGCTTTTCTATGTAAGGCTTAATGCTGTTTTTACTGTATTACTGTATAAACATTGGTCTTGCTTAAGGGTTTGCTGCTGATTTTTAATAGTACAACCAAGGAGGACCTAAAGATCACCAAAAAGGGGTTGGGCTGAATACAAACTGTTGATCATGGGTTAAACCTGGGCCCAACTGGACTAAGGAGACCTAAGAAGAACGTTCTCATTTTCACACATGGTTCCTCTTCCAGCTAGGAATGTCTGCACATGTATTAAAGCTGGCTTTGGCATACATACAGCCCTTAACCTTTTGGCTTGCCTGGGCTGTACTGAGTGAAGAGAAATTGTCTTGAACTGCATATAAAATATATATTATAGTTGTATGTAAATAACAAACTTCCTTTAAAAGTTTATGCTCTTGTGGGGCCACATTAATAATTGTCCAGGGCTGCATGAGGCCCACAGGCCACAGGTGGGCATACCTACCTTAACTGGCTTTGGATCCAATTTTTTTTATCTGACAATTCCTATTCTAACATGCTTAATCCTTACAATTCTAATTTCCTAAAACTATTTTTCTAGGAAGAGTTAATCTTTTTTTTTTCTTTTATTGTTTTATTATTATTATAATAATAGGAAGAGTTAATCTTGATTAAATCATAAGCCACTGTACAGATTATAGCACAACATCATTTTTTGCAGCCTGTTTCGCAGTAACGTTTTGAGGTATAATAAAAATTGGCACCATTTTTTTTAAAATGTGGGTTTTAGGGAAATTATACAGTTGCCAGATTTAATGGAGCAAAAGCTTACTAAGAATTAATCAGATGTGATAGTGAAGAAGAGATGCCAGAAGAAGGTAACTCCTAGCTACTGGAATTCTGTGTCAGCTGTTCAAGCTGCATATTTCATGCCAAAACAAGAGTTGAACAAGAAGCTTTCAGGCTAATATAGCACATTTCATTCCTTATGTTACACAGAAATGGGCCAATACTTCTGTCAGTCTTTTTCTAGCTTTGGGGCCATTTTTATTCAGTTTTGCCTTTTGCAGCTTATTACTGCAGCTTGATTGGATGTGAACCTAGGCAAATAATCTCAGACAATGTATAATAAAGTCACTATGGATTGGATCTTTGTTTTCTTTTCTTTTTCTCTGTTTATGTCAGCTAATGAGGAGGCATTGAAATGCATGTATATGGGATAGTAAGATTTTATCAAGATACAATGGTCAGTTTTGCATAC